CAACTGGGCGAACGCCAAGTTCACACCCGACATGAGTTTTGTCAACATTAAGTCAACGGTGCTGCCGTCCGGTCGGTCGAAGACGCTCGCCGATGTGAGCAGCAGCATCGAAGGCCGTGTCCACAACTCGGTCCACAACTTGCTCGGCGGTGACATGCTAACGGCGTCGTCACCCAAGGAACCCATGTTCTGGTCGCACCACGCACTCATCGACCTCCTCCACACCATCTTCTTTGAGTGCCGCGCCAAGGGTCTCCCAAAGAACGACCCAAGGTCTTTTCGAGCTGCTCGGTGCGCAACGGACGAGACGTTGATCGATACTCGGTCGTCAACATGCTCGCTGTCGAAGACGTCCCGGGACAGAACGTCGATGAGACGCCGGCCACCCAGGCATGGTTTGCCGATGTCCCTAACAAGTACTACGACCTCTCGGACGTCACAAAGCTCGGCAAGTTCAGCTACAACTACGAGATGAGCGGGTTCCTCAAAGACATGCTTATCAACTGCGACAACGTCGTCACCAGCAACCGCGAAGACGCCGTCATCGTCGACACGCAACACGTACTCAAGAGCACGTACCGCAAGGACAACGCCGACGAGCGTGACTGGCAGCGCGCCATGATGCAGCTCGGCGCCGCTTCGAACCTCACCGTGTCCGACGCCGAGCTCGAGATGGAGAAGGTCCAGACGCTTCTGTACGAAAACTGCTTTCCCGGCACGATCCAAGATTTCGACCCCGAGTTCAAGAAGCTCATGGGCATGGAGAACATGAAGTCGCACGACCTCATGCTCCTCGAGTCGATCCAGAGCGGCGCCAACCCGATCAAGCTCCCGCTCGACAAGTGGACGGCGATCAACGAGCAGACATACCACTGCCGCGGCGACGTCAAGGTCACGCCCTAGTGCGCTTAGCGCCGACTGTCGTTATCGATCGCAGTGTGATAACGGGCAATAATGCAAGTACTTTCCATTGTTGCATTCGTTTTTCAACGATCGTTGAC